ATTCTCAGAGTGGTTTCTGTCTCCTAATCAGACCCTGAATGATACAACTGATGTGCATATAGGTTAATTGTTACCTGCTGAATCATGGCTTCCTTTAATTTTATGTGGAAGCCCCTCCTTTTATAATAAAAATAATAATAGCTAATGTGCATAGAGAGAGGACTTTATAAGTATCAGGTAAAAGTACTCAGGAAGTCACCAAGCAGAAGGTAATTACAGTTTTCACTTCCAGCTTCTCTTGGCAGCAGCTGTGCTGCCTCCCTCAGAGGCACCAGCTGCCCCAGACTCCTCGGTGGTCTGGATGCTGTGTACTTGGTGCTCCGGTCAGACGTCCATGAACCAACTGTGTCCCCTGAGCCGGGGACGGGACTTGCTCCAAGCTCTAGCTTCTAGGACCTGCCCCAGAGACACCTCTTCTCTTTTGGGTTCCAGCCCTAGGGGTGGTAGCTCCTCCTCTGAGTAATCATCTGGTTTTCCTCAGCATCCTGGCTTCCAGCATCTGGAAACCAATCTCTTCTATTCAATCTTCTTTGGTTAAAACATCTAGCATGGTCTATGTTACTCTGAATACAGGCAGATACATAGGTCCTTCTACCTCAATTCCATTGAGTCTCACACTGATTCTCAAAAATTGGCAATTTCAGCCTATTTATTTCTATATTTATTTCAACTATACTAAGTTTATGAGCTCCTATCATTTACGTCACTTTTCCTGTACCCTTCTTTTTGCTCTTTTTTAGAAAAGAATAAGAACAAATACAAACATGGGCAAATAATAGCATAAGCACTGTTTACAAACATAGCAGCACAGAATCTTTGACTGGCAGGCAGTGACCAGGGGATACTTTGAAGTTCATTAGCAACTGATACATAAAAGATACACTTGGCATGGAAAGGGTGATTGAGAGATAAGTGAATGCTTAAAGATTTAAAAGTCAAGGACCTTCTCTATTTGCTTTCCTGAAAAATAAATAGAACTCTATTGGCAGGCGCCTATCGATAGTGTGGTTAGAATATGTGTGTTTATTGCCCATCTTGATCTTCTTGCTCCTGCCAAACAGATTACTTTTTATGTTATAAGCAGGCAGTGATGAAACAGAAAAGCTTCCAGCCACAGCCCATTGCTCTGTGTGGCAGACAGTATTCTAAGACAGCACCCTAAGATTTCTGCCTGTGGTGCATGATCCTCTCTCTTTGAGGATGAGTGACTCTGTGAATATGATGATGCCACTCCTGAACTGTGTTACTTTACTTGGCAGAAGGGATTCTGCAGGTGTAAGTTCCCTAATCAGTTGACTTTGAATTAATCAAAGGGGAGATTATACTGGGTGAGCCCTTAAAAAGGACTGCAGCCTTCCTGAAGCTAGAGATTCAAATTGTAACCAAGAGGACCTTCAGAACAGGCCAATTTGCATGCACCTGAGAATGGTCTCCAGTAGCTGAGAGCGGTCCCCAGAAAACAGAGAGTAAGAAAGCAGGGACCTCAGTTCCACAAATGCAGGAAACTTGGAAGAGCATCTTTCTCTAGTCAAGCTTCCAGATAAAGATTCCCCTGGTTGACACCTGACATCAGCTTTGTATGACACTGACCTGTGCTGAACTCCTGACCCACAACACTGGGAGATAATAAATTTGTGTTAGCCCTGGCTGGTGTAGCTCAGTGGATTGAGCGCCAGCTGTGAACCAAAGTGTCGCAGGTTCGATTCCCAGTCAGGATACATGTCTGGGTTGCAGGCCATGACCCCCAGCAACCGCACATTGGTGTTTATCTCTCTCTCTATCTCCCTCCCTTCCCTCTCTAAAAATAAATAAATAAAATCTTAAAAAAAAAGAAAAAAGAAAATAGTAAACCAATGTCTCTAGCAATAAAGGCATTTAAAAATAAATAAATAAATTTGTGTTAAGTCACTAAAATTGTGGTAATTCATCACACAGTAATAAAAAAATAATACAATCAATAGGGGAATCAATATGAGTAGATTCCATCTGTAGCAGCAGCAAAATCCATAATAGCCCCAATAAGAAATATAGAAGAACTATATAAAGAAAATTATAAGATATCACAAATGCACAAAAGAAGGTTTTGAAAAATAGAGATATATTATGACCTAAATGGGAAGATTGAATGTTTTGAAGATATACATTTTAAAGGAGTTTATGACAGACAAGAAATGCATCAATAGTTCAACAGAAAAAAAGTAGAATGTCTGAACAGAAAATATGCAGAACATTTGAAAATCTTTGGAAAAGATCACTCTGGAAAGAGCACCCAGGATCCTAATCTAATCTGTAATCTCTAACTGGAACTGACATCTATAATGGCAGAAGGGGCATAAGTCTTAGACCAAGGGAACTCAACTAGACTAAGATGGTGAATTCCAGAGGCAGAAGGATAAGCGGCTTTGCAAACCCCAGAGGCAGAGAAGTAAGAACAGAGACAGTGAAGTCAATCAAACCCATAGTGGGAGTGCTTTAGTGATAATTTCTTGGACCTAGGAGACTGGGTATATGCAAGTCCTCTGTGTGCTAAAAATATGAGGTCTGTCCAGAAATTATGCAGCCACATAATATGGAAAATAGAAATGCTCATTGAAGAAACATTGTACATAGGACAATGACACCTCACTCCCCTTCAAAGTAGGAGTCTCATTGAGGGTCTGAAGTCTCCTCCTTTTCAAAGGTGATTTTAGTTTTAGGAAAAGCGAGAAGTTGCAGGGTGCCAAATCTGGGCTGTAGGGCAGCTGAGTCACCTGGGTGATGTGATGTTTCGCCAAACAACTCTACACAAGATGTGATGCATGAGCGGGTGTGTTGTCGTGATGAAGCTGTCAATCACCAGTTGCTCATAGACACAACCTTCTGAATCATCTGAATAGTTTCCATGGAGAAATGTTCAAACTTAATGCAAAATTTGATGCAGATTCATTACTTTACTCACTCAGTCATTTTGAATGCAATGGCCACATAGTACACATGCTCACTCAACAGCATCTACTGCCCCCAGTAACAAAGACAGTGAAGTTGTCATTGTTCATGCATGTGATTTCTGGTCCACTCTCCTTGGCTGCCAGATTACATCGATGTTTTGCAAACCATTCTCATTATATTAACAATGATTGGACTTTTTCCAGACAGACCTCATAAGTACATGTAGATTGTTATAGATTATCTTTGAAACATATATAAGATAAATATCAATAAGATATAATGATATCTTATTTACTTATCTTGCATAGTAATTTGATTAATTATGTGAATGCATAGTTTAAAAATGCATAAATGTTAATGCAGGATCAGCTGTTTGCTAAAACTGCAATCTGGATCCCAATTTGCAGAGCGAGCCCATTTGAAGTCACTGGGTGATCAGAGCAGTAGCAGGAATTACGAGCGGCTAGAAGTCAGACTCTGTGGCAGTGCCTCCTCTCCTATCCAGCCTGTAGACTGCTCCCACCACAGTGGTTTGGCTGCACAAGGGACCGGCTGGGACCTTGTTTAGCTTTACACAGAGTTGGGTTCATGTGTGAGCGACCTGTGTGGCTGCAGTTAGAAGGGTCCCACACCTGGTATATTACTCTGTTGACAGTTTTGAAATTCTTTTTTTAAAAGAGATTTTATTTATTTATTTTTAGAGAGGGGAAGGAAGGGGAGAATGAGAGGGAGAGAAATATTGACATGTGAGAGATACATCGATCAGTTGCTTCTCATGCAACTGGGGACCTGGCCCACAACCCAGGCATGAGCCCTGACTGGGAATCAGACTGGTGACCTTTCAGTTTGCAGGCTGGCACTCAATCCACTGAGCCACACCAGCCGGGGCAAAATTCTTAATAATTCCTTAACAAAGGACCCTGCATTTTCATTTTGTATTGGGCTGGGCAAATTATGTAGCCAGCTCTGGCTCTAAAACCCATTTGGATATTTGCCTCTTCTAATAAACAGGAATGAAACTGGCCCAAGAGTGAGCATTTCTAGGACTGTTCTACCTGCTACCCTGCCAAACCTTTCCTTCTCTTTCTTTAATAGCCACCTGTTGAGTCCACTGTAACTTGCAGAAACTGGCTGCGTCTCCCGAGAGAACCCTACTGAGTTGAATTTTACCTCAGCAGCATTGCCAATCTGTCAGCAGCCTTCATGCAGTTCCAAGTGTGGCAAGACTTCTGTCCCGCCTGATGCCAGCCAGTGGTGTATTAAGGAGCCCACCTGGCCCTACCTGGTGGGTGGGCTGGGTTCCAGAGGATGCTTCCTTCCAGAACGGACAAAGGACGAATGGAAGGGGGAAAGAAGGGGTTAGAAAAAGACCTCAATCAGAGATCAAGGGTGATTCCTCAAAAGTAAATTTCCACCACTGAATGTTGCTTAACCTCCCTGAGCAGCACTTCCTCACCTGCGGACAGCCGAGCGGAGGAAATACCACCCCACCCTCACCCCCCACTGTCCTGGAGGACGGAGGGTATGTGTGAAAGACTGTGTTGTTCCTGGAGGGTAACAAACGTTAGCACTTACCAGTGAACAGTGTTACTTAATCATTTGGGCCGTGGGCCACTGGGAGAACCTGGTGATACCTATGGTTCTTCCTGCCCCCTCAAAAAGCCATCCCCAAAAAAGAGCTTGCAGGAGGTGCCAGGGTTTGACAACCCTTGAGGGCGGTCCCTGGACACTGGGAAAGCACGAGCCTCTACAATGTTCATTTAGGCGGTATTATCTCCCCTCTCATCTCGTCCTCCAAGCCTCCACTTGTGGCTACCTGAGGACAGCCACCTCACCCCGACTTTGCAGGAGGCTTCTCTACGCGGTCTACACGGCTCCGCGAGGGTCCCAGCCGGCTGAGCAGCAGCCGCAGAGGAGGCGGGCCTGGCTCTCCGCCCACCTTACATCAAGCTTCGGGTAGGGGCTCGGGCCTATTGCAGGATGGAAACTCCGGGTGTCCAGAGGGGCGGGAGGCAGAGGAGGAGGGAGGGAGGCGCACGGGTGAAAGGCGCATTGATGCAGCCTGCGCCGGCCGGGCAAGACTCTGATCACGTCCGTTCTCCCGGCTCCTCCAGCTCCCGCTCCGCACTTCTCGGGGTTGCCGCGCGTCATGCGCCCCCAGGCCTCGGCCAGCGCCTCGGCGCAGCGGCTCCTGGGCCCCCTGCTGCTCCTGCTGCTGCAGCAGCTGTGGGTGCCGTCGAGCGCCTCGGAGACCTCCAAGGTGAAGCAAAAGGCGCTGCTCCGGCAGAGGGAGGTGGTGGATCTGGTGAGTGCAGGGAGCCTGCCGCTCTGCTGCGCTGGTGGAGGGGGCAGAGCCGCAAGCAGCAACCGGCCAGCCTAAGTCCAGGTGTTGGGGGGTCTGTACAGCTGGGGTTTTGTGTGTCTTACTTGCATGCACCTGGGCGTCCTGCTCTGTCCGAGTCTGTATGTAAGGAAGGACCTGGGCTGTGCGTGTAATGGTGTCCTGGGACCAGAATGAGGGAGGTATCATGGAGCATAGGTGCGGTGTAGGACGGGTGGGATGCCCCAAGTACAGGATTTGCCCAATAATTCCTGGCCTCTGAGGCCCCCCACCCTTTCGGCCCCCTGTGAGGATGGAGAGGGTTGGAGCATCAGTGAGAGTAGAATGAGGGGCTTGGGTGGGCTAGAACTTGTGGGAGCTGCCCAGGAAAGACCCTAGACCAGCCGATCGCCTGGGCGGGCTGGGCCAGGGACGTGCAACGTGTCCTTTGTTGGGACTGATGGCCACGTCTGCCCGCAGGAGAGAAAAACAGCCCTTACAACGCCTCCATCCAACGATTTGTAACTTGAAGACTCTGAGTCATGTCGGGTCATCTTCCTAGGGCGTGTGGGCTCCAATTTACTTTGTTGGACGAGCACAGCTGGGGGCAGGGATGGATCAGAGGGTTTATGGCCAGAAGGGGAAATGGAGACCCCAACGCTAACCCATCCGAGGACCCATTTTATTGTTCTGTTCAGAGAGATAGGCGGTCACTCCTTTCAAACGCCCTGGGTTTTCAGCCTGTGGTCACCAGGTGAAAGCATCAGATCTGAGCTGAGCAAGAAGATAGTTTCCAGGGGAGCAAATAAAGAGCTCGAGTGCTTTCTGAGGGGCTAGCCTATGAGCAACTCTGTTTGCTTAAAGCTCTTTCCCTCCGAAGTCAGCAGACCCAGGGAAGGGCAAGAGTGATGCTGTCACAGCTACCATATTCCTTGGCACACAATGTCTTCAGTCCTTAAGTCAATCTTAATCGCTCACAAATATGGTTTACAGGCATTGCCGGACATGAGAGTGGGCATTTTTTTATTAAGAAAAAACCTGTTTCAAATATGTTAAGCTGCCCTTATAAATTGAGCTAATAAACCAAGCTCCCTGGCAGATTCAAGAGCCAGATTCGAAGTCTCTGGAAAAACATTCCTGCCATTTCACACAGCACTTTTTGGTGATGTGCTATGTAATTTTGCTCCACAAAGCAGAATATGTGTTCAGGGCTGCTGCTCTATTTTAAGTGTCTAAATTGTTTAAAATTGTACCAAATGAATGTGGTTCATGTCAAGCTTGCATTTTGTGAATTTGCAGTTATGATACACAAAATAACCCTTTTCCCCATCAAGCTAGCTTTTTTTTTTCTTTCCCTGCAAAAATTTACAGTACCTGTGGTTTCCCACAACTCTAGCCTGACTTGGCAAAGCTTACTGTAACCAGGCTCAGGTGCGTCCTGGAGCTTGGATTTGGTTTTGCTGGGGGGAAAAAGTCCACACAGTCGTTAAAAAAGTTTCATCAGATTCTATAAAGCAACTTCTTTGTACAGATCTTTCAAAGCATTTCTTTCAAGCTTCCAGCTAGCTCTGCCCCCTGGTGGCCAGTGAAAGAAAGAGGAGTTCATTCCACAGACATTTACATATTTTACCCCTATCTGGTAGGTACCAAAACATGTGCTGAGTTAGCATTTTAAAGTGAAAAAAGCAGATGGAATATCTGTGAAACCAAATTTGGTAAAATTATGGGGCCTTTTAGATTAAAAGGTGAATAAAAATTCTTGTCCATGGCACTGTGGACATTTTAGGCGAGGTCATTCTTCGTGGTCAGGACTGTCCTGTGTGTTGTAGCCTGTTTAGCAACATCCCTAGCCCATGCCCCCAAATGCTAAGAGCCATTCTGCCTCCCAAGTTGTGACACCCAAAAATGTCTCCAGACATTGCCAGTGTCCTCTGGGGAAAAAAGTGGCCCCAGCTGAGAAGTCCTGATAAATACACAGGAAAATACAGCTCTGTGTAGCATCTTGTCCCGACGGGAATAATGATGAAGAAATCTGAGAATACCATCAGTGCTACCATTTCTCCTTTTCCACTTGAACTCTATGTCCAAACATTGCATGATCTGCTAGTGTGAGTGAATGAAATTACTAAAATGAAAAATTAAGTCTGACATGAACTAGACTGCTTCAGAGTACTTTATACTTTAGCAGGTCTTCTAATACTTTGGCAGTTTTGCTGCTTCTCTTACTGTCAGAGAATAAATAGCACTGTCCCTTTCCCCCTTACAATCAAGAAAATAGCACTGGTCAGAGTCACAAAAAGCATTTCTCAAAATAAAGATCAAAGTGGTGATGTGAAAAGTGAATTAATTGGCGAACATTAGAGACATAGGGTCCTGCCTAAGCAGTGTTATTATTGGATTTTACAACATGACCGTGTCTATTCCCAGATGGCGAACTTAAAAGATAAGCTTTGAAGTTATTTTACTATATAAGGAACCTTGTTTTTATTCTGATTGGACAGTATATTTATATAGAATGATAGTGTACTTATACAGAGTAGTAGATTGTGACCATCTACACAAATGGAAGAATGTTAAAATAAATTTTTAAGTGGATTAGGTCTGGGATTTGAAGACTCTAATAAGTGGATCAAACCAGGAATTAGACAGACGGAAATCAAAATATCACCTTTTCCACTAATCTAACTACAGTGATATGTGTGGCTTTAGTGTGCTAACTGGAGGGTCTGCTAATACTTTCTTCTCCCTGGTAAGGTCCACCCAAGGGAGTGGACACACTGGCCCAGGGTCGCTTGCCCAAGGCTCATGCTCTTGGGGAATGATAGGCGTACTCTCAGCTGGCATGGGCAGTGTTTTCCCCATTGTGCAGTTGGGGAAGCAGGCAGCTGAGCAGCTTGCTGTGTCTCGCACAGCTAATGGTGGTGGAGTCAGGATTGAGATCCAGAGAGCATGGCTCCAGAATCTATGCTTTTCACTTCTATGTGATGCTGCTGCTGCCGCCCCTCCCCAACTGGAAAAACAGACTCCTAGCACTCGAGATGTTTGCTAGGTCCCTGCCACCCTGTTGAAGATGGGTAGTCACCTGCAATAAGGTCATTGACTCCTTCTCAGGGAGGAGCAGTGGTGTTGGCTGGTCAGCAATGTACCCTAGTGTTGTGTCCTCCACATAAAAAGTGTCAAGTCTGCAATTAAAAGAATAGGGAAGAAAGCACGATATTTTAGCAATGATTTTAAAATCAGTTCTCTGTAATAACTCATCTAGAATATGAGCAAGTGGTTTGAAAGGATTCTTGCCTCCAAGGGCTCAAAATAAGTGCAATTACAATCAGACCAGAGTCTTTGAATGTTAAGCAGTGAGAGTTTCTCTCCCTTTCCTTTTTCCACTGCAGTATAATGGAATGTGCTTACAAGGGCCTGCTGGGGTGCCTGGTCGAGATGGGAGCCCTGGGGCCAATGGCATTCCTGGTACCCCTGGGATCCCAGGTCGGGATGGATTCAAAGGAGAAAAGGGGGAATGCCTGAGGGAAACCTTTGAGGAGTCCTGGACACCTAACTACAAGCAGTGTTCCTGGAATTCACTGAATTATGGCATCGATCTTGGGAAAATCGCGGTAAGTGAAATCTCATTTATTCTGAAGTTGAAGCAAAACTTAAGGGTTTTTCGTAGTTGAGTGTTACTTTTAGGTGAGATTTTATTTGTATTTTATTTTTTACCAAAAGACTTTTAAAAAATTAAGGAGCAGGTAACATGACTTAAAGTTAATGAGAAAAAAATTGATAGCATTTCAGTTCATTTTATAAAGATATTTCTAAGACAAATAAATCACCATATTATTTTAACCCTAATACCTCATATAGTTACTTTTTTAATGCAAATGAAAAGGTAAGCTAATGCAAACGAGTCCACAAGATTGGACAGTGAGCAACTTTCCAATCTTATCCTAAAGGAAATTCAAATTAGCCTAAAAACTCTGCTGTGGCTCCAGACATAAAGGTGGGAAGACATTTCAAAGACGTGGCCATTTGATAGGAATCATCTGGAAGTGACGAGTCCATTGGTATTTGTCCTTTTCCTGGGGAGCTGGCCTAGCGTAAAACTGCTCAGCCTAAGGGAAGTGGGATGACCCAGCAATGTACTACAGCAACCATCTGACACTATTCCGCAACCCTTAGGGGGCGAGTTACTCAAAAGAGCCTGGCTGGCAATGCATTATGATTATGACTCAGTTGATCAGTGATCCCTTCAAAGGTGATAGGCCAGTCTACTGGGACATCATAGAGTGGAAGTTGCTCCTGTTCCTAAGCCTTTCTTCCTTTGCGGACCAACTCTATACATGGTTCCATATCCACAATGTATTGCTTTCTGATGTTAACTGCTACCATCACCAGGCAAATATGAGATATTTTATTTTCATAAAACTCTACGGTTTTAATCTTATGTGTCTTACCCCCAATTTTTATCTCTGCTCTTTGATGTCTGCTCCATTATCCATAAAAGAATTGCGACTGTCTTGGTTTAATTTTTATGTGATAGAATTTCCACAAAAATTCATCCATATTTTTTGTGCCTGTGACCACGTTTAGTTTCATTTGCGGTTTCTTAGAAAGCATTTTGTGGAAGTGCTGCCTACGTCTTTAAATGTCTGACACTGATAGACTCATTGCTTATTTATGGTTCATCCAAAGTTGCTGAGTTCTAGCTAGAAGCTCTCCCTATGGATGCTGAATTATTCACATGTTTTCAAGGTCCTTTTAGCAGTGGTCAGAGTGGGTTTAGGAGTTGGCTGCAAGTAAAAGAGAGTAGGACCATGACCCAGCTGGCAGATAAATTTTGCAGACCAGTTAGAGAAAGAAGAAAAGAAAAAAAAGAAGACCTGGGTCTTATAATCGTGTCACGTGGGTCAAGACTAAGAACCCCACCCATGCTTGAACCCCTGGTACACTGCGCTGTTGATCGATCAAAATGGGTGAAGACTAAGTATACATGGACAGCCCTCGTCTAGAATGCGAATTCCATGCAGGCAGAGCACCTGTTGTGTTTACTGCTGTATCTATGGCTCCCAGCACATAGGGGTCAGGAAACATTTTGGGGATAGAGAAACAAAGGTAAACATAATAAGCGGGTTTGTTCCAAATACTGAAGACCATCTCTTCTGATAAAACTGATAGATACTTCAGTGGGGTGAATAATTCTAAGAATGCCACGATTTGATTTTTTTTAGAGTTCCTAGTATCAGAGTCACTTCTCTCTCTAGCAGAAAATCCTTTTCCCTCTGTAAAAGTGAAGCTTTTTAAATGTGGGTTGGGGTAAAGGAGAGTTAAGATTCACAAAACGGTTCAAAAGTGTCTCTTTAATGAAACGAGAAAACGCCCACGGCGCCGCGTTTCCGTGTCTGTCGCAGGAGTGCACCTTCACGAAGATGCGCTCCAACAGCGCTCTGCGGGTCCTGTTCAGCGGCTCCCTGCGGCTGAAGTGCAGAAGCGCATGCTGTCAGCGCTGGTACTTCACGTTCAACGGAGCTGAATGTTCCGGGCCTCTTCCCATTGAAGCCATAATTTATCTGGACCAAGGAAGCCCTGAACTAAATTCAACAATTAACATCCATCGCACTTCTTCTGGTAAGTAGAATAGTGACATCTCGCGGACTGTGTCTCAGATCTTGAGAGACCCAAGATTAGTTTTGAGTCCACTATCGTGTCAGGTCACTAAGAGAGCAAGATTTTAGCCCATGATGCTCCACCCTGGTTGCATTTAAGAATTTCTTGAAATGGATCTTTTAAAAAATATGCAGATGCCTGGGTCCTGTCTCTGACTAACTGAATCAGGATCTCTGTGTTTTACACAGGTAAAAAAATACAGGTAATACTGTATTTTTTTTTAAAGTTCCCCATGGTTGAAAGTCACTGCATTAGATGAAATGGCAAAACTGCACCAATAACACCATATAGCAGTGGTTTTCAGCCTTGGCTGCACATTGGGCTCAGCTGGGGAACTGTAAAACCTCCCGGTGCCTGCTTACCGCCCCTCCAGGGAGTCAAGCTCGGGGAGGCTTGGGTGCAGGCTCAGCAGTGGGACTTCCAAACTCTTCCCTGGTAACTGTCACGTCTGGCCAAGCTTGGGAACCTCTAGCTTAGATTGATAAGGAGACTGATTTCTCTGCCTTGTCTTTTGAAAGAGTAGATAGGGTTTGCTGAATTCATGAATGAGAACATCTCTACACTGTTCCTGCATTCTCGGTTTTTCCTACCTAGTATGAGAGAAAAGACATTCCATTAAACCAGTGGCCATTTAAGCTCTAAGAAAACAAATTTATTGTTTTATTTTCTATTTTAAGGTTCATTAAAGAAAGCTTAGAAGATACCAAAAAGTAGAGAGGGGGAAAAAACTGTCTTATAATATCATCACCCAGACATGCTACTATTAATGTCTGGCTGCTGGACATTCGGGCATCCTGAGTGGCTGTGGAGGGTCGCACCGAGAGAGCACACACTGGGAGAGTCCCAGAAAATGTGTCATCAGCTTTGTTCTCTGGTTGCTTGAAGGGATTTCTCACTACTCTTGTACTCAAAATTGGCAGAGAGAAAAGAAAACACAGCCCCCTCCTCACCGTTAACCAGAAGAATTTATATTACAGCATGCTTTGGGGATAAAGTCAAATACTTAACCCGCTCAAACCAATTATCTCTAAGAAATCAAGGGCAGCCTTTCTACATTCTTCCTCAAATCCCCACAATATCCTCAGGATACGAAGATGTTTTAAGCACCTCTCTGCACATAGGGAAGGCCCAGGCAGATAACGTGTCTCACCCAGAATGGCAGAATGGTATTCAGGAGGGCAGAACCCAGACCCCACCCTCCTGTCTCCCCAGCCCTCTCCCTGATTAGTTAAAAGACCTCATCACTAGGTCCTTAGATACATGTGCTGGAGAGGAAGATGTGCTTTCCCTCAGAGAAGAAGTCTCTAAAATAAGAAAAATTTAGATATAAAATTAAAATTTGATTAGGAAGTGATATGTGTTAGATAGTAGTTGATATGAACAACTTACTCTTTATTGTATTATCTTTAAGGTCTCAGTGTTAATATCTTGCTAGAATAAGAGCCCTCGGCCCAGGAACTGTGACCTATATACACATATACTTTATAAATAATTCAGCACAGCGTTAACCAGCCATGGTGTGAAACCTCATTTAGTGTGACCAGTTGGTGGAATTTCAGAAGTGATTTGTATTCTTAACAGTTTTTATATTAAGATGGATTGAAAGTGAGCCCTATAGTAAAATCACTGCCCTTGCACACTGATACTCTTTCTTGAGGAAAAGGGAAAGGGATGCACTTACATTAGCACATCGGAGGATAACTTAACACCTTGGATATGCCCAGGGGAGTATGAAAATGCCATCTTGTTACCTGGGTCTAGGAGGGATATAGGTTGAGAACCTCTAATCCAACATATTTTAGCTGCTTAATAAATTGCACTAGTACTGAATCATCGCAAAAATGTTCATTCAAAACATTTTTTCCATTTGTTAAAAACTGTGCAGTGACCATTTGACTCTCCTGTGTGAAGTTCAGGCTAGAACCAAGCTTGTCTGATGTCCTGTAGGGTTAAGTGAACAATTTTCTAGGCCGTGGGCAGCACGGCCTTGGGAAAACATGAACGTTTCTGGGCACTCTCTCCTGGTGTGGCACTGAGGATACTAGGCTAATGGGACTCTGAGCACACTGCTGAGTTCTCCCAACTCTGAGAGGGGCCCGAACCAGAGCCAGGTCCCTGGATTCCAAGGGTCTGGCCTCAGCAGATCGCTTCAGGCCTCCCTCCCTGAGGCACAGCTGGGAGGCAGTGACCTGCCAACAGGGAAACCCGAACAGTCACCTGACATCACCCCTGCAGTCTGTGTATGTCAGGATTCATTTTCTTAAAGAATCTGAAGCTCCAAAACTCTGGTTCTTTCTTCTCCTGACATAGACATCAAAAGCATTGTATCTTTTTGCTTGTTAAAATGACCACTGGGGGGAGGTTTTTTTTTTTAATTTTTATTTGTAATATAAGTGAAGAAGATGAAATGCAAGTTTTGTCTTAGTATGTGAAAGTTCAGAGATGCTGAGAAAACATATATATTTATATAGCAGAAGAGGAAAAGCAGAGCTGTTTATTTGTATTTTTCACTGTGAGGAAATTCTATGTAAAATGGGATTCCCAAATTGAGGGATAGGTATAATGATTATGCTAGAATTTCTTTGAATGTTATAAAAGTTCTTTCATCTACTTGAATACTATTAAGTGAACAAGTTAAGTGTTGGAAGGGGCTTTCTTTAAAAAGGACTTGCATGAGAGCATGTATGCCAATGATACATCTGATAAAGGGCTGACATCCAAAATGTATAAAGAAGTTGTACAACTCAACACCAAAAAATAAACAATCCAATTTAAAAATGGGCAAAGGACCTGAATAAACACTTCTCCAAACAGGACATACAGATGGCCAATAGACATAAGAAAAGATGTTCAACTTCACTGATCATAGAAATGCAAATTAAAACCACAGTGAGATACCATTTCACACCTGTCAGAATGGTTGTCATCAATAACTCAAAAAACAAGTATTGGTGAGGATGTGGAGAAAAGGGAACCCTCGTGCACTGTTGGTGAGAATGCAGACTGGTGCAGCTACTATGGAAAACAGTATGGAGTTTACTCAAAAAATTAGAAATGGAGCTGCTTTATGACCCAGTGATTCAACTTCTGGGACTATATCAGGAAAAAAACCCAAAACAATTATTTGAAAGAATATATGCACCCCTGTGTTCATTGCAGTGTTACTTACAATAGCCAAGATTTTGAAGCAGCCCAAGTGCCCATCAGTAGATGAGGAGGTAACAAAGTTGTGGTACATCTACCATGGGTGGCACAGTTGTGGTACATCTACCACGGGTGGCAAACAGAAGGCCTGGGGGCCAATCCGACCCTTCACCTTGTTTTATCTGGCCTGGCACCTTGTTTCTACCCGGTGGCAGTGCTGAGCTCCTTGCCCCTAGTTAAGGGGCAGTTACATTTACACAGTTCTAAAATTACATTCTGCCCTTTGAAAGCAACCACAAGGTGATGTGGCCCCCAGTGAAAATGAGTTTGATATGCCTGAATGGAATACTACTTGGTGGTAAAAAAAGAAGGAAATCTTACCTTGTGCAACAGCATGGATGGACCTGGAGAGTATTATGCTAGGAATAAGCCAGTCACACAAAGACAAATATATAATTTCACTTATATGTGGAGTCTAATCAGCAAAATAAAACCAACAAATAAAATACAAACAGACTCATCAGTACAGAGAACAGATTGACTGCTGCCAGAGGTGTGGGGTTGGTGAAGGGATTAAACAAAAAAAGAAAAAAAACCCTCCTAGACACAGATAACAATATGGTGATTGCAGGAGGGAAAGAGGGGGCAGGGGAGGTAAGGGTAAAGAGGGGATAAATGTGACAGAAAGAGACATGAATTTGGGTGGTGGATACACAATACAATATACAGATGATGTGGTGTGGAACTGTACATAAAAATTTAAAAAATAAAAAAGACTTGAAAAAGTCTTGGCTTTTAAAAGTATAGTCTTCCTTTGTTTAGTCAAATAAATTGCTTTTTTTGTTTTAGGTCATATCTTTAACTAAACAAATTCTAGTTTTCTAGTTAAAACCTGTAAGAAAAGTGCCTGTTAAACTTACGTCATAGAAAGGATATGTATTTGTCTTTTAAAACTCTTTATGTGATAAGAGAAACACTTATCAAGTATTAGAACTTTTAATTCACTGCACATTAAATAGCTTTATTATCTGGCTTGCTAAAGTAACAAAATTTAACTAAAGGTTGACGTTTTCTAAAGAACGATGCACCCTTCACCTTTGTTCGCAGTGGAAGGACTCTGCGAAGGAGTCGGGGCCGGATTAGTGGACGTTGCCATCTGGGTTGGCACGTGTTCAGATTACCCCAAAGGAGACGCCTCCACAGGATGGAATTCCGTGTCTCGCATCATCATCGAAGAACTGCCGAAATAAATTCTTTAATGTCCACTCCCTACCTCTTTTTTACTACACCTTTGAATAGTTCATTTTAGTGACATTTTATATAATTTTTAGGTATATATCTGAATGAAAAACAAAGTGTTTACAGACCAAAGTGTGATTTCACACAGTTTTTAAGTCCAGTATTATGCATTTTCCTTCAATCAAAGATGGTTTTAGGATTTTGTCGTTGAATACAATGCTTTCTTCCTATTCTCATTCTCAGAATCTATAGTTTAGAATGTCGTGGCAGTCTTTAATTTTTTCCTACTCTCTTAGTATAGCACTTTTAAAAGTATAAACGCTACTAGTCTTTGTACAAGTTGTAAATGTTCAAAACTGTTTTATATCTGTGAAATAAAACTTATTTCAGACAATCTCAATATCTTCAACCTCATTCCTACTAAAATTAGAGTGTCTAGTGCTTTATATCTGAACAACTGAGTATAAACCTAATTTTGTATTTATTTATATTAACATGATATATTAAATTTAAAGTATATGTATAGCACTGTTTCATATTTTGAGGGATACAAAGAAAAAGAAATTTATGTGTCAGGAAATACTCTAGCACTTTAGGGATTTTATCTTTATTTAAGAAAGAGGAAAAAGGTGTGAATTCTGGCCTCATATTGCTTACCTTTTGGTAGGGAGAATAAGATATACATATAAAAATAGCAACAAATCAAAGATTATATGTTGATTGCCATGAAAGTTGTTGAAAGGGGCAGTACAATTCAACAGATGTGCTATCAGGTTGAGGTGCTGCTCAGAAAGAATTCATGATGGAGACTTCCAGCAAGATGGAGGCATAGGGGGACGCACCGTATCTCCACGCGCAACCAAGATTAGAACAACAACAATTTAGAGGCAGACTAACACCCAGAACTGATAGAGAATTTATCTGAATGGAAGTCGGACAGCCAAGAAGTTGAAGTAGACCCGTTCATCCAGACCGGCAGGAGGGCGGAGCCGGGCGGGCGCGGGTCGGCAGCAGCACGCGGTGATCGGGGAGAATTTGGCGAGAACTCGGCGCGTAAGCCATCCAGGGCACGCAAGATCGAGGTGGTGGACCCTGAGTACGCAAGCAGCAGCTGGCAGACCCAGTGAGGCGGCGATTGTGGACCAGGGCAGAGCTCACAACCCAGGATCCCAGAGAAGGGACTGTGATCCCAGGAGAACGGAACTACTGCCATTGTTCCCCCCCACTCCCACATACAACATCACAATCTAGCGACTGGGGTGCCCAGCCCAGGTAAACACCTAAGGCTCCACCCCTTACCATAACAAGAGCGACCAGATAGGGTGGGGGGGAAGGAGAGACAGAGAGAGACATGTCTCCAACAGAAGAACAGTCAGTCCCCCAGGACTCATCCTTTTGAGCGACCAAGAAATAGCCAATCTATCAGATGCACAGTTCAAAACACTGGTTATTAGGAAGCTCACAGAATTGGTTTATTTGGGGCACAAATTAGATGAAAAAATGCAGGTTACCATAAAAGAGATGAAGGAAGATGCACGGAGAGCCAATAGTGATGGGAAGGAAACTGGGTCTCAAAACAATAGAGCGGACCAGAAGGAAGCAAAAAACAACCAAGCAGGAAAACATGATGAAATAAGAATTCAAAAAAATGAGGAGAAGCTTAGGAGCCTCCAGGACATCTTTAAATGTTCCAACATCCGAATTATAGGGGTACCAGAAGGAGAAGAGGAAGAGCAACAAGTGGAAGAGTTATTTGAACAAATAATAAAGGAGAACTTCCCCAATCTTGCAAAGGGAATAGACTTCAAAGAAATCCAGGAAACTCAGAGAACCCCAAAGAAGTTGGACCCAAGAAGAAACACACCAAGGCACATCATAACTACATTAGCCAAGGTAAAAATGAAGGAGAGAATCCTAGAAGCAGCAAGAGATAAGGGGACAGTCACCTACAAAGGAGTTCCCATCAGACTGTCAGCTGATTTCTCCAAAGAGACCTTACAGGCAAGAAGGGGCTAGAAAGAAATATTCCAAGTCATGAAAGACAAGGACCTACATCCCAGATTGCTCTATCCAGCAAAGCTCTCATTTAGAATGGAAGGGCAGATAAAGTGCTTCTCAGATAAGGTCAAGTTACATCAAGTTCATCACCACCAAGCCCTTATTTTATGAAATGTTAAAGGGACTTATCTAAGAAAAGAAGATAAAAAAACAAACATGTATAGTAAAAGGACAGCAAACTCACAATTATTACCAACCACACCTAAAGCAAAACCAAAAGAAACTAAGCAAACAACTAGAACAGGAACAGAACCACAGAAATGGAGATCACATAGAGGGTTAGCAACAGGGGAGTGGGAGGAGGAGAGAGGGGGAAAAGATACAGAGAATAAGTAGCATAGAATGTAGGTTGAAAATAGATAGGGGGAGGGTAAGAATAGTATGGGAAATGTAGAAGCTAAAGAACTCATAAGTATGACACATGGACATGAACTAAAGGGGGGATATGGGTGGGAGAGGGTGTACAGGGTGGAGGGGAGTGAAGGGGGGAAATGGGACAACTGTAATAGCATAATTAATAAAATATATTAAAAAAAAGAAATGCAAAAATTAAATACCAAGTATTGGCAAGGATGAGGAATTCTCATATAATGCTTGTGGAGATGTAAAATGGTGCAACCACTTTAGAAAAACAGCTGGCAGTTTCTTAAAAAGTTAAATACTGTGTTGGCAACATAAAGGTCCCCAAAGATGTTCACATGCTACCCCTGGAGTCTGTGAATATATCACCTTATACAGAAAAAGGAATTTTGCCCTTGTGCATTTATCCTTTATAGTAGTTCCTGAAAACCCTTCTCCCCACTGTCCCCTCCCCCATGGACAAAACCAAGGGGGAGGGTGGAAGCAAGGGAGGGAAGTGGGTTTGGATGGGGTGGTGGGGAAGGGATAGTAGAAAATGCAGACACCTGTAATTGAACAACAATAAAATAATTTGGGAAAAAAAGAAAGAATTCGTGATGAAGAAAGTTCAGGTATGAGACTGATAAAGTTAAGCAAATCCTGTGCTTGAGTTGGAAGCATCAATATAAATTCATAAAGTACTTTATCTTAAAGTTATAAAACAATAACAACAAACTCTAGTTTTGTTACCGAAAAAGCCTAGAAACAGTGACCAATTAAGTAATGCTCAGATTGCTATTTTGGCATACCATTTCCTACTAAAGGAACTGAGGCTCTGTGAATTAATGGGGGACTTTGGCCCCAGGCAGAAAATGCACCTTGTGGGCCCAGATCATCCTGGCATTACTGGGAAACAAGGCAGCTATCAAAGACAACTCAAAAGGATCTATGAGGCAACTTGAATTGGTTCCCACTGGCAAAGATGGTACAATTTAAGCACAAATAAAGATAATAACTGCAATGGTTTGAAACACACCAACTGCATTTAAATGCATGAGTTCATAATGATATTAACATAGAATTCATTGGTCAACTTAAAGGACACCAGTAAATGAAATTGTTACTTTGAAATTGGCATTAATACATAAAAAAACCCAGCATTTACTCTGCTTTCTCTATGTGAACTACGTTTCTGGGTAACCAAACTGATGAAGGGAAATTTTTCCTTAGAGAAATGCATGTGTATGTGTGTGTGCATGCATGTACACACCCCCTCATGAACTAAGGGATCTAGTAGTGATCATCAATGAGTGATAGCATTTCAAAAAGAAAGACCAAGCTGTATGCTTCCTAATGAAAGTAGAAAATACTACCCAAACAGTAGTTTTGCCAGGAAACAATCAAACCTGGGTCTGATTAGCTGCTTGATATAACCATTAAATTTTAGGAAATACAGAGGATAGAAGAAAATGTTCATTGACATGACAGGGTTATAATCAGCAAATCCAGACTGGGAAACTCAAAAGAAAGCTTGATATCTTCAACAAACTGCAAGAAAAGAGAAAGAGGGAAAAAATATATGCAGTAAAAGAGATTTCATATCATATCAACCCATTTCAACATTTGAACTTTATTTAATGCTTTAGTTGAAGACATTTGAACATTAGATATTTGATATTGAATAATTATGCATTTTTAGGTGTGATAATGGTTTTGTGGTTATTTTTAAACAGTGCTCATCTTTTAGAGATACTGAAATATTTAAGATAAAGTGATACTGATATCTGGCACATGCTTCAAAACAATCTGGAAATGACGAGTGAGTGAGAGGGAGCCTAGATGGAAAAATGTTGAAGACAGGTGGAAGGTAAACAAGATGGGTCAATTTTTTGACAAATAGAGACTGGGATTAAAGACATTTGGGGTGGGAACGAAAATACTAGTTAAGACCTTTTTGAATAGTTATAGACTGTGAAGGTATTTGTGTTCCATGAGAATGCCTACCAAAGAGCATTTGCTGCAGAGGAGACTCTTAATAATGAGGTGGAAAAACAATACTCTGGACGTCAGTTGGCTTTTTTCCCCAGCCACTGCAGCACTAGCTCAGTGGACCCTGGACAGAGAAGCCATGCTGGCAAGGATGGAGGCTATATATGGATTCACCCATGTGGAATGCTAGTGATACTGTTGAGTAGGGACCAGCTTGAGTCCCAGATAGGACACCATTTCCTGGGGGGGACAAGCCAGCTACCTACCTGGCTTTCCTTGGACTTCTATCATGGAAGGGCAGAGATTCATTCTCACAGAAATTGACATATGTTCTGGATATAGATGTGCCTTTTCTGACTATAATTCTTCTGCCAGCACTATCATCCACAGACTCACAGAAAGTCTTATCCACTGCCATGGCATTCTGCACACACTGGTTCTGCTCAAGACATTTCATTTCACAGCAAAGATGTGCAACAGTGGGGCTCACCCATGGAATTAACTGGTTTCACCACATACCCCATCACCTGGGAGTATCCTCTGCTCAGAGTGTGTCACCACTTCAGCTGAAACCGAAGTGTTGATGGGGGCTGTGATCTCAAGTGAGGGTCCAGAGCCTCTTCCCAGGTCATGTGGTTGTTAGTAGAAGTCAGTTCCTTACAGCTGTGTGAGGAAAGCCCCTGCTCTTTTGCTGTTAGTGGAGGATTGCTCTCAGCTCCTGGGGTGCTCTCAGGTCCCTGCCACGTAGACCCTCCTTTCACAACAGGGCTGTTTTTCTTCTAAACTGGCCCAGGAATGAACTCTTCTGTGTTAAAGACTTGCCTAATTAGGTAGGTAGAACCCGCCCACAATAATCTCCATTTGGATTTTAGTTCACTGATTAGGGACCTTAATTGTACCTGCAAAATTCCTTTGACATATAACACAATCATGGAGGTGATATCCAATCATATTTACAGGTTCCAACAATCCACAAGGCAAAATTATGCAGGGTACGTATATCGGGGGGGGGTCCATCTTAGAATTCTGCTTACCGCAGACTGACCCCTGGCCATTTTGCTCTCCTTATGCCACTGAAGCAACAGGTGAAAAACAGAAGGGTAATCAGTTGGCTGTACTGATCAATCCCTTTTGCTGCTATGGTGGAAGCAAGGAGGGCCATGTGAGAGAGCCCTATGTTAGTTAGAGAAGGCGCCGTGGCAGGGCATTGAGTGGTGAGAAGGGAGTTTGCTGGTTTGCCTGAACCAGCAAATGATTCTAAATCTGGACATTTTATAAGGTTTCTCCTAAAACTTCCATGCCAACAGCAAAAGTTAATGGAAAACTACAGGAACCAGAAAAAAGTCAGGATGATTAAGGATTCAGACATCTCGAGAAGAAATGTTTGCATCACTTTACCAGGTAGGTAAAGAACCCAGAGCTGTGGGTTCTGGCTGTGGGTAAGGAATGTATGGAATGGGTAGTTGAAGCTGGAAGTTAGAGTTATCAAGTATAGCCAGGTCCAATTACAGAAATCGGGACTGTGATAGCTTTGCATATTTTCTCTTTATTTATGTTTATTTATATATGCTAACCATTTTCTTCCTTCCTCTCCTTTCCATTTGTATTATATTTTTAAAGTTGGTGGATGCCAACTTTACAAAGTAGTCTTTCATTAATAGAATATGCACTGGGACCTTGACTGAATTCGAGTGGTAACTAACAGCCGGCAGTGGATTCAATGACTGTTGGGGCTTTGTGTCTTCTCATTTGGGAAAAGGGCAAGAACTTCCTTTATCAGAAGGATAGGCTAAAATATGGTTAATTGCTTTGTTGTACTGGAATTCAAATCTTGTAGAAGGGTGCATATGGAAGCAGAGTAGTCAAAGGGGTTGATGAAGCCTCATATCAGCTCCCAACTCATCCTTCAGTACCTGCTCTGGGATAATGGACTGGACTCCGGGCATTTCTCCTTCAGAATGAGCACATTAAGTAGAGGATACTGGAGGGACATTAAAGGAGGAAAAAAGCCTCTCTTCCTGGTTTCAGTGTACTGAGCTTTTTTTGTTTTTTTTTTTGCTCTTGCTTCATGATCTGTCAGTGGTGTGTGTATGTGTCCTAGTGTGTGGACAACCGATGGTGCTTTGCTCTGTTTGCATACCCAAAATGCACAGTCCCTCAGCTACCTTGAAGCCCCACCCCAGGAGGCCTGGTGATCACCTCACCGCAGGCTTCTTGAGAGGGCTACCACGTGCTCCTGGCCTCATGCTTTAGCAGAGCTAAAACTCCCTGGCATGCCTATCCACTGGTCTTAGCTTGCCAGCTCCCTTTGGGTTGCTCCTGAGGCTTTTTCCAACGTGGAAGAGGTCTGTTCCTGACTTTGCACCTGCAGAAACGTCCGAACTTCCTCTGCAACCTGCTCACCAGCCTTGTCTTACTTGTGCCCCAGAAGGTCATTTCCTGCTTAGAAGATTATTCTAAACCAGCTCTGGCCAGGCAAACCAGCACTTTCTCACCACCCAGTGGCCTGCAACACCTTCCCCAGTGACATCTGAGTGCCAGAGCAGGGCCCTCCTCCAAGCCTGTCCTTCCTTGAGTACTCTCCCTCAGCCCTAGGGTACCACTTAGAGTTCTCTTAACATAGTTATATTACTGTGTCCTAACTTAACAATTATTTCAGCTTCTCCTGGTTAAATTTACTGGTCTACCTCCTGATTATACCTAGATTGCTAGAGCTGTGATTAGTTGGTGAGTCTGGGACAAGGAAGTGAGCATGACTAGTACTTTCTCTTCTCTCCTAGGGAATAAGAGAGCATGCATTCTGCCTCCTTCCTCCTTGCTGCAAGTTTTACAAGGGGCAGGCAGTTAAATAGTTGGTCCATTGTTGTTTGTGGCTGGATGGGTGTGTCTGCACAATTCTGGCGCTTGGTATAAGGAAGCCCACTTTTATACAGATGTAAGCCTCATTCTCTAACTTCAGCCTTATCACTAATAAAGGTCATTATTTCCTGCTCCACTTACCTCTTGTCTACTTCTGAGTTAGTTTAGACCCTGGGTGGGGAAGAGGTTAATGTGAATCACTGAAAAGCAGCTTGCTGCTTTTTCTTTTGACATGTTGAGTGTGAACTGGTTTATTCACTTTCTAGCTTTTAGTAGAACATGCCCAATGTCATAATTAACATACTGGTACATTGAAATTTAATATAAACATCCAATCCTGTAATATTTGTTTTCAGAAAATATCTAGGGAGCACTCCCAAATCATCCAATTTTTGTACAGTTGGGTCTTTTACCATAAGCAGATTTTAGTTATTTTTCTAAGTCTCTGGTCAATCTCTTTTCATGGTGAGTTGAATCTTTAATTTTTATAAATATTAAAGAATGAAATGTTTTTCTATAAAACTAAAACACTTTAAAGAACATACACAACATACATAAGGGTCCCCAAGTGCTCAGTTTTAATAAAGGTAACATCAATTTCCATAGAAACAAGAGTTCACCAGCATCATGACAGTTGATGGGAAAGTGACAGACTTTATGGTCTTAGATTCTGCATCATGTAGGAAGCTTCCAGTTGCAGTAAGTAACAGAAAAACCCAGCTGAGTCTCGCTTACAAAATAAAGGAAAATTAATGGTTCACCCAGTTGAAACTACAGAGGTCCATCCATGTGTTAGGGGTGAGAATTGATCCAGAATCTCATATAATGTGACTTATAACTGAGTTTTTCTTTCCTTTTTTTTTTTCATAAGTCCTGTTCTAGATGGTTAATCTTAAGCTTATCTGAAAGAAGTGGGTTTTTTTTTCTTTTTTTTCCTATGTTTGAAGTATGACCTAATTTAACATTTTACTGTCATGTTCTTGGTGGACACATTCCCCCAATTCATGATCCTAAATTGGATTTGAGGAGCTCTGAGAGTTACATGAATCCTCATTCAAGAAACAGCAAAGAGAGAATCTATGTCAGTATACTCAGAAAATCACGTCTTCGAGAGTCGGTCTGGCTGGAATGGTTTGTGTCAATTCCAAACCATTCATTCTGATCAGAGACAGCACGTGCAGGTTGGCTCTGCTCATCAGGGCCTTCCTCCAGTGCAGGGGAGGCCCCCCCACCTAAACCACAAAGGTGAGAATGAAGGGAGAGGGTAGATTCTGCAAGAAACTCAGGCTACAGAAGGAGGAGAACTAGATGCTGGGCAGGTAATAACAGGTATTCATTATAGGTACAATACTTCCAGAGTCTATTTCCTGTTTACTCAATTAGAAAGAAATTTAAGACTTTGACCCAGCTTACCTCACATATACGCTGTTACCTGACACATTTTTAGAAAACAGACATAAAGGTTAAATAAATAATTTCCCAGTATTTTATTTCTATAATAATTTTATAATCACTAAAAAGACTTTGTTATGTAAGTGGTAATACAGACTTCATCTGGATGATTTTATATTTGGTAAAGTGTCCATATCCAAAAAATTTTTCTCTGATGCCTCATGAATTCTAACATACCTTTCAATTGATATCCCTTTTTTTAGTGTGTTTAAAAAAACAACATGACTTTCTAAAATTGCCTGACCACGAAAGCACATACTGAAACGTAACAGCCTTCTCTTCACAAGGCACGGCACCCATCATTGTCTTGGATTGTCGGGTCACGTTTGTCCCACCATGTTGAACTCCAGCACGGGTTTTTGTTTTGCCTGTACCTTAAATCTTCAGACATCCTTCCTACAATCATGTTCTCATTTTCCCTTTGCCATCCTGCACCACCTCGCCTCCTTCCTAGACTCCCAGAAATATTTACATGGCTGATAACTTCTTTCTCAGGGTGCTGCTCGCATCCGATTGGTCTTCCTTTGTCGCCCCGAACATGCGGCTACCTCTCTCTGTTCCATTAATTCCTCTCACTTCTTTATCCATCAAAAAACCCAAACAGGTTTAGCAAAGCTCCGAGAGGTATCATACTCTATCTAGTCCCCATCTTTCAGCTTTGTCTTCCATGTCATTATCATTATCAACTCACTGCTCAAGACATGTCACCTGTGCCTCTTCCCCATCGTTCCAAGGTTCCCTTTGAAATGTCTTCCTTCAAGATATTTCAAAGCTTCAATGTTTCCCACCCATGAAACCTGTTCTGGCTCCCCTCAGGCTATCAACTACTTCCAACATCAACCGGGTCACACTGCCACTAGCTTCCTAACTAGTATCATGCTTCTTGCCTGTCTCCTTTCTCCACACAACCACAGAATGACCTCTTATGCAATCTGAACCCCTTATCATCACTTGTAAGATCTGACCCATTTACTAGCTCAGAGACTGTGCTAAGCACTTTACTTGGATTTATGCATTGAATCCTGCCAGTAATCCTATGCTTACGTACTTGTAATATACTGATTTGTAGCAAATTCTGTTGATGACCCACCCAGATTCCTTTTATAGGGCTGGTGCACCCACAACCCATCAGCAGCAGCAGGTGCTGGCTGCTAACAGCTCAGACCTCCGCCTTATTTAGAGGACTGCCCTCAGCTGACAGCTCCTCCCCCACTGCAGGTAGTAATGGCTCCGCCCCACACCTCTGGGTAGCACAACCTAGGTGGTCTCATCCATACACAGAGTACACTGTAAAGTCAGGCTGAGGCTGACCCTGGAAACCTCTTCTTCCCCTACTGGACCGTTTTCTTCACTCCATTACAGATTTCTCCCAAGAGCACTCCCTCAATAAATGTTACATGCCCAAGGATCCCCGTCTCAGGAGTTGCTACCAAGCAACTGATCCAACACACCATTTTACAGATGAGAAAACTTGAGGCAAACAGGTAGTGATTTGCCCAAGATCAAGCAGAAAATGGCAAAGCTGAAACCTGAAGCCAGTCTGGCTTGCTAACCTGCCTTCTTCTCACCATACTGTAATGGCCACTTATCCAATCTCATCTGGCCAGGCATCCCCTCTAGCTAGGTTAATTCCTACCTCAGGGTCTTTGTACTTCCTATTCTTCCAGTGTTTCCTCTATCTCATTGTGGTTTACTTCCTCACTTATGTCAAAATGTCTCAAATATTACCTCCTCAGAGAGACCTTTCCTGACCCCAACCATTTACCTAGCATAGCAATACTACTCACAAGCCTGCTATTTCATAGTATTTAATGCCCGGAATCATATTATGCTTATATGTTTCCCGTCACCCACAATAAAATGAAAGTTCCTTGAGGGCAGGAATGTTGTCTGGCTTCTTTACTGCCATCCCCTCCATGCTTGGTAACACACCCGGCAAAGGACAGGAGCTCAGCAACTATTTGTTGGAGAAGTGAAATGAGTTCGTTTCTCAGAACTCTTACAGAGCTTTGTAGAAATCTTTGTGAACTATAGTTACTATGTTTGCTTGTTTATTCTGTAAGCTTGTATGCTCTTAAAGGATAGAAATTATGTTTTATTAATTTGGGGTACATAGAAGGCATTCAAATAATGACACCAATTCTAAAATTCGAGATATCAACTACATATAGTGACTTTCCATATAGTGACGATAATCAGCATTTCATATGAATTATAGTATAATCCAGAAGTATGAAAAAATACATCACATGTAATTCATAAAGTATTCCTGCACATGTTACAAGAAACTATAGTAAGTATAATTAGGTACTTATCATTTCACCTTTATTTTTAAAACAATGCCATTTTCAAAATATAAAACATACACCTATTTTCAAAGAACCATTTAAATACGGCTTTGAAAAACCACGATGTTTTATTTACAACAAATAGATGGTAGTGCAATAGCAGTGATAGACTTTTATGATAAATAAAAATATTAGCATTATTCTGGCATCCCTTTGGGGCAGAACTTCATATTTACAATGACTCATGAAAGTAAAACCAATAATGGCCATTAATGAAATTTGTATTAGAACCTGAATTTGAATAACCAAAGTAGATTAGTCATTTGTTTGGGATCTGGACCCATATATATGAAAACTGAAGTATGAAATTAAAGTTTCTCAGCTCCATGATGTTTGTCAACTCTCAGTCATTCCGGTATCTGCATAAGGTGATCTATTTGCAACTCCAGTGTATGACTTACAGACAGATGTGCTAAATAAGGGCTGACACAGCTGGATTCTAGTTCAGACTTTATAAATTTAAAGGCACTAGGTACCCATGCCATAAAATAATGGGATCCAGTATTACATTTTAAATTATGGAAGAACCACTGGAAATAAAATCAGTGGTGGAATTACAACAGATGTCAGATATTTCTCAAGTTCACAGGAGTACCTAACTTCTCAGTTTCTTTAGTGTGTTCCAACTGAATTGAAACAAAATTTGTCTCACCAAAATTTCCCAATTCTAAAATGGTCTGGATCTGGGCAACATCTTTTCCAGCAAATCCTTAAAAGTTCAATTTACCCATGAAACACTGATGACATTCTTATAAGAAGTCATTTTCTTGCTATTGCACAGAGGTCAATTTTAAAGCTAATCCAGGCAAATGAATTCAGAAAAAGAAGCACTTTATCTAATCCACTTAGCAAATGCTGAAAATTAGCTTCCACTTGAACAACGAAATGGAGAAATGTATGAAACTCTCCATGTGGTGTCAGTTTTGCTGTTGTGGTGATGGCAGCCAGTTCAGGCAGAGGTAGCCAAGTCCCATTTACATGGGGAAGGCAAAAAACAAACAGACATTGTGAGACTTAGCAGTTTTCTGACTTCTAATGATCATAGACCAATTTTGATTATGAGCCATGTTGCCGTGTAGTATTCTTCTGAGTTTTATGTTTCAAACACAAAGGAGCATGTGGTGCCTTGGGCAGCTGTGCTGGACTTATCTTCTTTTAGCTTACTTTTTCTCTTCCCTAAGGTTAAGTAAAAAATGTGACACATTTTCATATACCACAAAGGTAATACAGCAGGCTGGAGTCACTCTAATCAAATTGGGAGCAATTCCTTTGTAAAATCCACCAATGCCTTCTTTCCTTTAGAGAGAAAAATAGATAGATGCTTAATTTCCTGTATAGCTAGGCTGAAGATACAAAAGTTTAACTGACATAGGGCATGGAGCCAGCAGTCAAACCTCACTGTGAAAACAGACCTTCATGTTTTCAATGTCCTGGGTAGGGACACCTCAAAACTGAACTGAAAAGTGCTTTAATGACAGCCATCTTTCAAATGCCTTTAAATGTATAAACATGCAAGACTATTAACTGATCTAACGTATGCATTAAAAACCTCATATATTATACAAATGCGAGGCAACCCTAAATATCACATGCCAAAACAAAATTTTATTTCTTTAATGCCTAGAACAGAAAGATGGCCTTGGAACTTGTCATGTGGGTTCTTGATGAATATTTACTAAACTGAACTAAATTTAAACATTCTAAATATTCTGCTCTGGCCTTTTATAATTAAAGATTAATATGGGGATACTAAGAAATACACATTTTTCCCAAATGTGAAGACCAGTGCAGTAAGTTTTCATTTAATTGTAGTCAATAGGTTCTGCGACTTAAGTGAAATGACATACAACAAAACCAATTCTACCACAGGTTAATTGATACGGACGAGAGTTAAGGTCCTATGGCATCTCATTAACATTATAAGGAAACGATGTCGTCCCAGGACCTGCTATACTTGTGAAAGTTATGGTGCTCCAGCAGGTGTGGCACCTTCTTGATGGTATTAAACCAGGTCTTTTATGACTTCCTATATTCAAGGCCATTCAAATATTTTTTTAACATCTAATTTTTGTTTTATTAATTTGTCAAAGCACTTTCACATATCTCATTTGATTTTTAAAACAACCTTGTCAGCCTAGCCGTTCTAATTTTACAAATCCAGCCTTAGGGAGGGAAAGTCCATGCTCCTCTATGTGGGAAATGGGAAAGCAGGGGCTACCAGCCATGTTTTCATCCCCGCACACCAGCCTGTGCTATACAGCCAACATCACCTAGACAGCTGAAGATTTGAAGGCACCTCCTAAAAGCCATTCTGCCATGCCACATGCACTCACCTCCACGTCCTCGAGATTACATCCAATACACCCTCGTAAGACATATGCTGATCCTGAAGACGAGCTCTCACAACTTGGTATGGGTACGTTGCTGCTACAGCAAATATTTTGGATAGTGCTGCAACAGATATGTATTCTACTGTGCTCTAAAATGACAATGCAAAATATGTGCTTTCTGTTAGACAGGATTTCTTTAAAAATATGTAAGTATATATAAAGTATGTAGGAAAACAAACATTTAAATGAATCTGTAAGTGAAAAATACTATTGCCTCTCTTAACACAGGCTCTGAGCAATTAAGGGGTTCTTTTTTTAACATCTGTGTCATTAGCCTATAAAACATTTAACTATAAATTATTGGCAGAGCCCATATTCATCATCACTCATCATCACAACAATACTCCCAAAGTAAACATGGCAACATTTCCATCTACTATATCCCCCCAAAAGTCAATAATATTGTATATTTTTTCCAAGAATTATCTTACCAACTGGGCTTCTGGTGATCTGTTGATATGCTGGTTGTATTTCAACTTCAACAACTCATATGCCATAAACTGAAGGGCACCATGTGATGTTCCAAACAGCCCAGGAACAAACCCCTAAATTGAAATAAACAAATGAACAAAAAGTTAAACTAAGTAAGCAAATTCCCAAAGGACCACAGCTTCCTGGGAGGGGAGAACGGAATGGGTGACTCGACAAATGTGAAATGGACAAAGTTTTAGACAGTTCTTACCCACACTGTGTCATGATAATACATCTCATGGTAACAGGGATACACAGGTTACAGTACAGTTCCAACACTGTAAGCCAGATTCCAGTTTTCATTAGTTTGTTTCTTGCCTAAGTTTGACTTCTTTTTATGACTGACTATAGGTCACTCAGAACTTGGACGGTAGAGCCAAAAAAAATTACAACAGTCAGTGATGATTAAAAATGTATTGATAATAATTCATTACCTTATACAATCCACGCACACCTTCACACTTATATATTTTCCAAAGGGTACCAAACATCCCTTTATACTGCCGTTGTGGGGCGTTAACAACACCTTCATACTGCAACATAAGGCGGGTTTTTGCCACCCAGAATGGGTTTGTGATGCAGAGCGTCATGGCTCCTGAAAGCAGATTTAAATATGATTAGTCAGCTAATTACAGCTAGTCACTTTTTCCCTCATGACAACCCAAATAAAGAAGAGTCAATTTATATAAAGAATGGGGTTGCCCAGGGTCTGTACATGCAATAGGGACATGCGGTCTCTGACACAGACTTAGGGCTAAAAAGTTTTGGGTGGTTACAAAAAGTTCCTTCTGCAGTAAGTGCGAGGTAAAAAGGAGATGGAAATGTGAGACACATTCCCTTTGAGGTGTGAGGATGAAGATGTCCTAGCTCCTGAACAACGTGACCTAGTGTAAGAGAACAGATGGCAAACAGGGAGCAGACTCTGATAAACAAATAGATACTTAGGAGTGGGACACACTGTAACCCAGAGGGGTGGAAGGCCAGGGGGAAAAGACCGGGAATCCAGCACCTTAATAATGTGTGATATGTACCTATATATCCACCTCAACTGTACCACAACCTTGCTCAAAGTCCAGTCAAAGTAGCTACTATGTCCCAAATTAAAGAACTATGCAATGTAATAAGTATTATTTTACATTCTTTACAGGAAGTGACAATTTTATAAAAAAACCAAAAAACCAAAAACCTATATCTGGATAAGCCTCTCATTTGCTGAGTTTTCTAAGTAGTCTTTTATTCAACAAATATTTATTTTTCTTGTGTGATTCAGATCTCTATTAGCAGCTAGGTATTCAAAAATGAGTAAGATAGTTTTTGCCTTAAAAATCAACATTAAAAAGTAAAGTACACAAAATATCAAAGTAAAAATTTAATTTAATTTATTTTTTATTTTTATTTTCAGGGGAGAAACGTTTATGTGAGAGAGAAACATCAATCAGTTGCCTCTTGCACACGCCCTGACCGGGGACCGAACCCATAGCCCAGGCATGTGTCCTGACCTGCAACAGAACTGGCCACCTTCCGCTTTCTGGAACAATGCCCATCCAACTGGGCCACACCAGTCAGGGCTCAAAGTAGGAACTTTAAAGACTTATGGGTCTTACTTTGTTTTCCCCTTCTGAATATTATACACATGAGGCAATTAAGCAAGGCTACTAAATTGTACTCATATAATTTGAAAACTGAGATTATACTTTAATTGAATAATCTCCATACTGAATCATTTTAAGCTATTAGAGATTTATAACTTTTCTGAATTTTATTACCCTGTACAAAGTAAAATTCTTGAAATACATCCAGAAAAATCAGTAAGAATACCTACTTTTTAAGGAAAGTTCATGTGGTCACTGATTAGTACAGTTAGATAAGCATATGTGAGCTCTGGTGCTCAAAGGAAAAAAGGCAAATAAAATCGAAAACAAAAGTCAAAATTTGACATTTTAAATTTCACACACTGTCTTACCAGCTTGGGCCGCTGAGACAAGGTATTCTGTTGCCTCTAACCGTTCAGCTCTTCCTTCTGTCTTATATGATTTGATGGCGTTGTAACTAAAAGAGTAAAATGTGAGCAATTTAGTAAATATTTGAGTAGGCGTCATTAAGCAGTAAAGTCTCTTTTAAAGTGGTGTGTAACTTAACGATAATGCCTCAAAAGTAAAAGTCAATGCATAAGGCAGCCACCAAATAAGGCCGTTTTCAAGAACGGATGTGCTGGAGTGGTTCATTGTTAAGATTATACCTTTCCTCCCCCCAAATAGATATGGCTAGCAATACATATGCAAAATATTTTAACCACACACTCAACAATTAATAAAAACAGCAGGGAAAACCAGGAGGGGGGAGATGCAGTGGAGGACCAGCCGGGGTGGGGGATGGGGAGGCACCTAACAAATATGTGAACATCTGCGTTCGGTTATCGTGGTTGGCGAGTATAGTAGGTAAAAAGATAAAATCTCTCTGTAATCCTTCATAACAGACTAAAGACCATAGGCAGCCAACAAATAATCATAACAAAAGATAACACAGACAGTATCAGAAAACACTGAGAAACTATGACTGATCACGGAAGGCTTTGTGTAGCAAGTGGCCCGGGCTGAGTACAGGGAGGCAGGTACAGTCACAACAGGGAAACAGGTGGGCATAAGCAGAAGTTACAATAAGGATGAATGGGAAGGCAGGAAAAACGGAGCCACACTTGAGTGGCAGACTGGCATTTAGCCTTTATTTGGCAGAAAACAGAAAACCACTAATGTGTTCCTGAGTAGGGAATCAAATCAGCCTATTTTCTCTACCTCTAATCTCCACTTTCTCTTGAAAGAAGAATTCAGGTAAATAAATCTTCCCAAGCTTTGCCAACACCATTCTAACATGAAACAAATATACTATTTTATCATTAAAAATTTTCAACACATGAACCTTATATGGCTTGTCCTTAGAAACTGTCTTTGGAAAACCTACACATCTCTGAAATTCATTAATAGCATGAATTTTGTACATATGGTTTCGCCCTTCTAAGTGTATCTTAGAACTGAAAAAAAACCCCTACATGATACTGAAGCTGAATTTTATTTTGCTTTCACTTAAAGCAGCGCATGCTCCCCCACTGCAGTGTGGTGATGCCTTGTCCCCGTGCTCCTGTGCTCTCAGTAGGTTGAATGCGCCTGCCATACATGCTTTCTGTGGCTCCTTCAGTAAGCATGCAATAGCAGTTATTTCAAATGGTGATGGTATCTTACAAGGTAAGGATAAAGAAAATGAATGAACTAAGAAGATAATGAAGCAGGTCAAATAAGAGGTAAGAAGGACCATGTCTCAAACTCTTTCAGCTATACACTGGCTTCCGTTTTGTTTCTAGTAGGGATTTTCCTGGGGTACATAATGTTATAGGAACCCAAGATCTGTTCTCTTGTGCTTTTCCAACTTCATTATGAATCAAATGTATTTTGGTAAGTCATTTTCCTGAATTCATCTCATAGAACTGGCATCCACAAGAGTGCTTCTCCATTCCATCCCTTTGCCTTCTTCCTACTAAGAACTTTCCTCCAGACCAAATGCCGCTGGTAATACCCAACAAAATGAAATAAGCCATTTTGCACTTTCTGACCCTTTCAATTCAGAGAAAGTGACTAAATGACTCACCTTGTATTATTAACTCATATGTTAAAAATCACTAAAAACAAAAATTGTGACTTCTGGCAAGATGGAGGCATAGGTGGATGCACCATACCTCCATGCACAATCAAGATTAGAACAACAACAATTTAGAGGCAGAATAACACCCAGAACTGATAGAGAATTTATCTGAATGGAAGTCAGACAGCCAAGAAGTTGAAGTAGACCCGCTCGTCCAGACCGGTAGGAGGGCCGGAGACGAGCAGCCGGGCTCGGGTTGTGGTGCGCGAAGAACAGGGAGGACTGGGCGCATAAGGCAACCGGGAGCACATAAGGCACCTGGGGCGCACAAGATTGTAGCGGGTGGACCCTGAGTACGCAAGCAGCAGCTGGCAGACCCAGTGAGGCGGCGATTGTGGACCAGGGCAGAGCGCACAACCCAGGATCCCAGAAAAGGAACTGAGGTCCCAGGAGAACGGACCTACTGCCATTGTTCCCTCCTGCCCCCGCCCCCACATACAACGTCACGATCAAGCGAAGGGGATGCCCAGCCCAGGTGAACACCTAAGGCTCCGCCCCTCACCGTAACAGGAGTGACCAGACCAAAAAAAAAAAAACAAAAAACAAAAAAGAGAGAGAGAGACCTGTCTCAAACAGAACAGATCAGTCCCCCAGGACTCATCCTTTTGAGCAACCAAGAAATAGCCAATCTATCAGATGCACAGTTCAAAACACTGGTGATCAGGAAGCTCACAGAATTGGTTGATTTGGGGTGCAAATTAGATGAAAAAATGCAGGTTACCATAAAAGAGATGAAGGAAGATGCACAGAGAACCAACAGTGATGGGAAGGAAACTGGGACTCAAAACAATAGAGTGGACCAGAAGATAGAAAAAAACAACCAAACAGGAAAGAATGGAGAAATAAGCATTCAAAAAAACAAGGAGAAGCTTAGGAACCTCCAGGACATCTTTAAACATTCCAACATCCGAATTATAGGGGTACCAGAAGGGGAAGAGGAAAAGCAACAGATTGAACATGTATTTGAACAAATAATAAAGGAGAACTTCCCCAATCTTGCAAAGGAAATAGACTTTCAGGAAATCCAGGAAGCTCAGAGAACCCCAAAGAAGTTGGACCCAAGAAGAAACACACCAAGGCACATCATAATTACATTAGCCAAGGTAAAAATGAAGGAGAGAATCCTAGAAGTAGCAAGAGATAAGGGGACATCACCTGCAAAGGAGTTCCCATCAGACTGTCAGCTGATTTCTCAAAAGAGACCTTACAGGCAAGAAGGGGCTGGAAAGAAGTATTCCAAGTCATGAAAGACAAGGACCTATATCCCAGATTGCTCTATCCAGCAAAGCTTTCATTTAGAATGGAAGGGCAGATAAAGTGCTTCTCAGATAAGGTCAAGTTAAAGGAGTTCATCATCACCAAGCCCTTATTTTATGAAATGTTAAAGGGACTTATCTAAGAAAAGAAGATAAAACAAACATGTATAGTAAAAGGACAGCAAACTCACAATTATTAACAGCCACACCTAAAGCAAAACCAAAAGAAACTAAGCAAACAACCAGAACAGGAACAGAACCACAGAAATGGAGATCACATGGAGGGTCAGCAACAGGGGAGTGGGAGGAGGAGAGAGGGCGAAAAGATACAGAGAATAAGTAGCATAGATTGTAGGTTGAAAATAGATAGCGGGAGGGTAAGAATAGTATGGGAAATGCAGAAGCTAAAGAACTTATAAGTATGACACATGGATATGACTAAAGGGGGGGTATGGGTGGGAGAGGGTGTACAGGGTAGAGGGGAGTGAAGGGGGGAAATGGGACAACTGTAATAGCATAATCAATAAAATATATTAAAAAAAACAACAACACAAAAATTGCTTTCATTTAACACTGGAAGATCTTCTAGATCTACTCACAAGAAAAAGTAGAGTCCCCAGGATAAACCTGCACCCCACACATTTGGGGTTACTCCTTGGTAAAGTCCCCGTAGTCCATCAAGTTTCCAAATGGTACTCAAGCAATGCAGAATTCCTTTGTATTTTGGTCTCAGTTCCAATCCATCACTCACTGCAGTAAAAGATACACAGAGTCAGGTGAGAGCAAAATTCAAGTTCTGAATCACATATAAACATAGATATACGATCATGTAAAGGAAGTAAATTCAGGAGAAAAACATTTAGGTAGAGGAAATTATTTTCCAGGATTGTTTTTAAAATAAACACACTTGTGAATTTATTGAAGTTTTTTATTGAGGGCATACTGAGCATTCCAGTAATACTGAAGGAACTGTTGGATTAGCCGCTCTTAAAAATCCAAAAGCCTCTTAAATAAGTAAGTTTCAACACAAGTTTTGTTTTTGTTATAGATATCCAAGATTAACGATTCAAATGATCAACATATTACTCAAAAAATGAACTTACTGACACTTCAGTAGCTCCTGGCATTGTTTACCTCCAAAACACTCTTCTTCAGGCTAGTTTCGCACCACACTCTCCTGATCCTCCTCTTATTTCTTCATCCTTGTTTCCTCTTTGGCCACTAAATTTCCTTTGCAGCCTCCTCGTCTTCTGCCCATCTTTCAAATGCTGATTTTTATCAGCAACCTTTCCACTCAACGGGCACAGTCTCTTAATTACTAAGTAGCTTGAGCTGCTGTCCCTGTGTTAGTTTCTACATCTCTAGTCCCGATGTCATTCCTAACGCCCAGACCTGACTTCCGTTTTCACACGGCATAACAGTTGTGTCAATCTGGCAGCCTGTTAACTTTCTGGAATCATTTTCATTTACAACCTTTAGCATTTTGCCATTTAGCTATACCAAACTACCCACTAAGGTTTCAAACTAATTGCATATGCTGTGGAATCGAACTTACTAGGTTTGAATCCCAATTCCAACACTTACCATATGACCCTAAATTATTTGATTATTCCATGGCTGAGTTTTCTCAGCCATAAAATTAGAAAAATAATAGAACTGAACTCTAAAACTTACAAAGGATTACATATAAAGCCCTTAAAATTCTCCCTGGCACATAGCAATCATTCAACAACTGTTCAGTTTATTCATGCTACTGGCTCTTGCAATAGTATATGCTAAAACTCAACTGTATGCTATTCTTGTTACTGGACTCTGCACTTTGGTTCCTTGGTTAATCTGTGGATGATTAGATTTTCAGGTTATTTTAGAAAATCATTATCTTTACACCTCATTTACATTCTTCTTTGTTGAGACTCTCTCATCATTCCTGATGATTTAAAACTACAATCCACCCTCTGTGCCCACAGATTCAACCAACAAGGATCAAAAATATTTAAGGAAAAAAAAGTTATGTTGCTGATGTGTACTATGTAATTAGGTGTGTGATGGCTGTATCTGTACTGAAGGTGTACAGAATTTTTTTCCCTAGTGATTATTCCCTAAATAATATAGCACAACTATTCACATAGCATTTCCCTTGTATTGATATTAGGTATTATCACTAATCTAGAGATGATTTAAAGTATATGGGAGGCTGTGTGTAAATTATATGCAAATATATCATTTTACATAAGGGATTTGAGCATCTGGAGATTCTGGTACCCACAGGGGGATGCTGGAACCTGTCCCCTGCAGATACCATGGGACATATATTTTCAAGTTGGAAGAGGTTTCAACCATCACCTTATCCAACATTTCCACTCAATACAAGAATATCTTTTAACCTCTGTTATCCAGCCACTGAACTACTTCTAGTCATCATGGTTTCCTTTCTGGGCGCCACTACTTTGCCGGGCCAAAATCTGCTTCCCTGTAATTTCTACCTAACTTCTGTCTGCTCTTTAGATCAACATACAATCAGGCAGCTACCTTTCCTACATGTCAGTTCTCTAAATACCTTAAATTCTACCCCCTACTCCCCACGCTCCCACCGAGCTAGCTAGTTCCTCCAGTCATTTCTCATATGAAATGATTTCTAATTTTTCTTCTACTCTGGACACCTTTGAGTTCCAATTTGCACTTGGCTTACTGAAGTAGTCCAGGTTTCATGTAATGGTACATTGAAGACTAACACCCCCAATCACTAGATACTACAGGTTAGTTGTAGGAATTAATTGTACTAAAGCATAAAAACTACAGCATTAATGCTTATTGCCAACCAACTATTTTGATTTCAGTTATCCATTTTGCCAAACTTTCTTCTTTTCTATCACCATTTCACAGCTTTGTGATAACAAAGCCCTGTGTCAACTCCTAGATCTGTAATTCTGTCCTCCCACCCAATTTTAATTGCTTTATCTGTCACCTTCACCCTACTGGTCTCTTAAAACTCTCTCCATTTCATCAAAATTACCAATCTTCTCGGGTACCAAGAATTCCCTTCCCTCAGGCATCATATGCTTATGTCACACTCTGAAACTCACTAGGCCAACCACACTATTCCTCAATCTCAGCTGACATCCCTTCTGTTCCTAGACAAAAACTGCAAAAACCAAGTCATATAGGCCAGCGCCTGTAGCCAAATGCAAAATTCTTTTCATGTTTAAGCCACTGTACACCACAGATTCCTAGATGTAGTAGAGTGCTTAAGTGCCAAAGGGTTCTAGATTGTACCACCTGGGTTTAAATCCCAGCTCTATTGTTACAGGCAAGTTAGTTAACTTCTACTATCCTCACCTGTATAGTGTGGAGAACAAAGCCATAGGGTTGTTCAGACTAGTCAGTCAAATAGTGCATAGGTCACTGCCTTGCTCCTAGTGAATGCTCAACGAATGTTACATCATAAATTATTTGTGCATACGTCATACACTCCATGGAAATAATATGCCTTTGTGGGTTTTCTCCGATGGATAATACTCCATAATTTTCACTTATTTTTCCTTCATAGCATGGCTGCTTACCTCCTGCAACTGCTGAAATAGCCCTTCTATGGGGAAACTTAACATCTGATGGAACCTTTACAGATACAGACACATATGGCTATCAGCAACCTATAATCTTCTTGATAGTCTACCTCTGCTCATATTTTGGAATTTAGATTTATTTCATTTTGCCCTGGCTTTACAGGGGAAGGGACCACAAAAATCCAGAATTATCTTTTGGAGGGCGGCCCCCTTGTAGTACAGGCTGCCCCGCTAGGTGAGTGTTCTAGGTTCACATCTGGATCAGTGCACCAGCTGGCACTGTTGTGAGGGGCTGCGGTTTAGTTGCAGCGAATTTTTTTTGGAAGACTCTTTCAATGCAGTGGCTCATTTCATGAGTTTTTTACGAGTGCATCTGCCCACACCATGCTGAGTGGTCAGCAGTTTTTGACCAAATACATGATGACCTCTTGTGACCCACCCTCCCTATTCACCCTGTCTCACCCCTACAGACATTTTTTATTTCCCTGGATGAAAAAAGTCCTCAAAGGGAAATGTTTTGCTGGTGTGGAAGAGGTGAAACAAAAAGTGGCAGAAGCACTAAAAGACATCATAATCACAAGTTCAAAAGCTATTTTGAGCAGTGGAAAAAAAACTCAGTTGTATTGCATCAAATGGAGTACTTTGAAGGTGACTGAAGATTAAATATGTAAGAATACACAATTTTTTATAAATTCCATTTTTGTGTCCCCACTTATATGTTGTCTAGAATGATCTTTTATATGACCAAGTCTCACACCTACAATTAGACAGTAAGGTCCCCTCGCAAGAACTTTGTCTAGGTGATTCTGTATCCCCTACAGCAGTCTACAAATGTATTGAGTGACTAGGATAGAATTAAAGTCTTTAAGATAAACCATTTCTGCAGATCTAATTCTCAAGGCAGAACTTACAGTAATGTGTTACTGATAAGAGAACTAAAATGACAGAAAAGTTCGCAAATAAAGTTATATAAGACCTTCTTTGAAACTATCTTTTCCAGAATTTAGTATTACCTTACTTTGTTAATTTCAACATACTTAATTTACTTAACTCAAGGCGCTTCAATCAATAAACCTAAAAAGCAGTATAGTATTTAGATTCCAGCTACCTATTCCTTCACAGGACCTTGTACCACACTATAAACGCTAAAAAACAAACCTTCAAGAGAATTCTATCTCATATTTGCTAGAGATTACGCCTTACACTAAGCACTTGCATTTTCCTCATAGGCGCTGACAAGCACGTGACTATCCTAAGATTTCAAACTACCTTCAACCACGAATGTTTTGCACGTGCTGAGGGCTAATCCTAAAATGTGACAACCCGTTTTTTATTTACAAATCAGGCCTTGAGTCCCACATTCTACACCAGTGAGGACTTTTCTATCGATGCTCCCCAACTCTTACTCTTGGGGAATCCGGGTGACCACAGCCAGATCCTTTTGCCATGCCCCCTTCCTCAAATCCAGTTCCAGGTGAGCCCGGACAGACAGCAATCTTCAACGCTTGCCTCTTAGTATGGAAGGAGCAAGGAAAAAACCAAAGCCTCCTTGAGCATCTTTACCACCCAGTTCGGGGAACAGCAAGCAGAAAGAGCCCAGGGTCAGAGCGGGCTCTTACCTGCAAAGCGTATCTTTACTAGGTCCAGCGGGTGCAGCGCGAAGTTGGACAGGACGCCGCCGCTCACACCCGCCACGAGGTTCTCGTACCGGACGTGGCGGAATACCGCGCTCCACGCCGACGACCCGGGAGCCGACTGGCCCTGGCTTGTCATTGACTCGGGGCCTGCTGATACCTCGGCGCCTAGGGCCGAGGCGGTGAGACGGGAGGCAGTGGCCACCACCGTGGCGACAATCGCCACCCTGAAGCAGAACTGCAGGACGCTAGCCCACTTCCGGGACCGGCGGGCGGACGAGGAGCGCGTACCCACTGCACGGAGCCAGCAAACCCTGTAGCAAGCCTGGCATGACAGGGGGCAGCCGCAAGTGACGCCAGAAGAGAACGCGAGGGAGGTGGGTCGCACGCCTCCACGGAGTCCCCGCCCAGCCTCGCCCACAGCTCCTGCAAGCTGGGGCTGAAGGGCGTGGAAGCGAGCGCACAGAACCGCCCCCGGTCAACCCTCGTCCGCGAAACTACGGAGTGCCGCGGGGTACAGGCTACGCAGCCGGTTTCCCATTTCGTGAAGTCACGTGGCAGGAAGTAGTCTGGAAGAAGCGGAAGTAGCATGTGCAGGCGGAGGGGGCGGTAACCGGAACCCGGAGGGAAACGCTTGTGGAGTCGGCCCGAGGTGGACCCCAAGATGAAGGTGAAGATGCTGAGTCGGAACCCGGACCACTATGTCCGCGAAACCAAGTTGGATTTACAGAGAGGTGAGACAAGTTAGTAGAGAGCCCTCCAGCCTTGGGTCTGGCCTGGGCTTCCCACGAGTGAAGTTGGCGGGGAGACTGGCACTCTCGTCGCGTTCTTTCACTGCTCCGTTTCTCCAAGGCAAACTTTTTACAGATCAGGCCAGACGGGACTGAGTAGCAGATAACTTCCCCAGAAGTCCTTTTAAAAAGAACTTTCCCAAGTGGTCTGCGGGAAAGTTAGCTGTATGGAGAATGTTTGAAGCTCCCCTGCCCCTTTCTCACATTGTTTTCAGGTTCCTGCTGAAAAGTTCAAGTTGAATGAGCCAAACTCGTGGGTTGACGAATTTAACAATTAAACTGACTTCTTAAAACCTTTCCGTTGCCCTAACTTCTGGCCACTTTACTTCTTAAAATTACGTACATCTGAATGTAGGAAGAGACAAAGGTGAACCTAAAGCCGTCAGTTTTATCAACAACTCTTGGAATTGGAAATAGTTAAAATGAAGTTAGTGAGTTTTACTTACCCGTATTGGCCTGTTCCCTCATTAACATGGTGACTGCTTATGAATTAATCATATAATTGCTCATGATACTTAAATCACAAGGGACCAACCATATGTGAACAGACTATTCTAAATGAAGAGAATAACAGGTTCAAAGGCCTTTAGTCAAAAATGAACTTGGGGGCCGCGTTATCAGAGTTTGAGTAAGGGATGAGTGATAGAAGAGGCTGGAACAACATTTCGTCATTTTAATTGAGTAGTGGAGGTTATCAACATATATTCAAGAACTGCTATGAAGTAAATACCTACTCAGAAGATGTTTACAGATTAAGTAACAAGATAACAAGACGGTAATGTTTCTAATATGCATTAGGTTATGTCACTTGGATTTGACATTTCTATTTCTTGAACCTGGTCCCATCTTCCTCTCTAGTTTTGCTAGTCATTACTTTTCTCACAAGTACCTTGTATTTATCCTTGCCAATCTGAGTGCGTTTCAGGCATTCTCTTAATGCAGGAATGAGTGAATGACTGGCTAGTCAAAGAATCTCAAGGTTAGAAGGTGATGAGTTATCTGACCTTGGCGTTAAGGGTCTTACTTATTTTTTATAACAACTTTCTATATCTTTATACTTGATGATGAAAGTGTTAATAGCAAAATGGAAAAATTGAAGTATTGGAGCTCAGTAAAGCAAAATAAGGAAGATATTTGCTGTCTTCCTTTATTATTTTATTAATATTTAGCTGTCATTTCCTTGTAAATTTTGTGCAGTATTGAAATGCTTATTTGAGTACTTTGATTCATTGACCTAGGGGGGAGGACATCAGAGAATCTGTAGTTTTAAAATTCCATTGGCTATTCTGATGCATTGGTTAATATACAGATGTATGACAAAAACTTACATAAATATATGTCATGTGTTTGTCAGCTATGGTATCCTTGGTGCTTGTGACATATAGCAGATGCTCCATGTATACTTACTGACTTGTTGACAGAATGTATGAATTTAGAGGTTGGAATGATTGTAGTGATCTGAAGCCTTTTATAGAAGACATGAAATTTAAGCTGAATATTTTTAAAGCATACATAGGGTTTATTTAGGTTAGGATGAAAGTTGGAGTACATTCTTGGTGGGAAGAAATGACTTCTACAAGTATTCAAGAGTGGGAAAGGTCAAGGCAGTTTTAGGTGACAATGAATAGACCAGATTGGCTGGAGCCAAAAATTGGAGTTTCAAAAATTACATGAAGCTGGAGACAAGTAGGTTGGGCCCATATTGCGGAAGACCAGAAAGGAGCTTGAAATTAATGCCATTGGTCAGAGATCTCTAAAACTGATATATTGGGCTATTCATTGCGGAGTAGAAAAAAACAAATAATACTTCAATTTACATTTCTTATCTTAAAAAATAAATTAATCTTTATTAAGATAATACTTACATTGGCACCGATACTGTCATTTCAGTAGTATGTTGAATAGTCACTTGATGCGTGTGGTACTTGAGGTATCCCGAAAAAAGACTGGAGGCTTGACATGGTATGCTTGCTTCTACCTTCAGAATAGTGTACCATGCTCTACAGTTTACATTAAGTGGGGAATTTTATTATTTTAAATAATAGAATCTTTATAATAATTTATGAAGTGATGGGGGGTGGCCATAAAAATCCATTTTACTCCAGTGGTTCCTTGGTAATATATGGCAGAGTTCTTAGAAGAGTTGTGGAACATAATGATGAATTAAGCATTGTAAAATTTGCTGAGCTTTTCTGTGGCTATGAATCCTCAGTAGGAGTTTTCTCCAGTATGTCTGTTTTCAGTAACACAGTACCGTGGGTTAGCAAGTTCTGCCTGTATCTTTTGCAACTGCAGTAGCAATTAAAACCAAATATTGTAATTAAAACCTTTGAATAGTATTAGATTGAGATTTTGAAAAAACAGCATCTTTAATCACATGCTCTTGCTTAATAAATTATGTGTGTGTGTGTATAGGTGAGCAGCAGAGATCTGCTCAAAAACTCCTTTCCTAATGGGGCATACAAGCAAAAGAGTTTAGAGACGACCAAGAGTTTTGTAGGGAGCCTTTGAGAGTTTTTGAGCATGGGAGTGACATGCAAAAAGCTGTGTTTTTAGAACAGTGAATCTGGTGATAGTGTAAACTGCTATTAAATAAAGTAGGGATGATAATACAGTAGTTCAAGTATAAAGTAATATGGGCCAAAACTAAGTTACTAGAGGTAGGAAGAGAAAGGGAAAAATGAGTAAGAAGTATTTCTGAGAGAGTGTAAGTAGGACTGTAAGTTTTGGCACTGGGGAATAAGGATGATGGATTCATAAGCTTGATTGAATGTTGAATATAGCACTGTCAGTATCAGCATCTCACGGACTTGTAGAGAATTTTTATAAGAATTTATTTGAGCCAAACTGACAGTTGCTGGGAAGCAAGATTTCAAATGCTCAGGAGAATGACATCTTTGCAGTTTCTTTTATATGTTTGAAAAAGATTTTGTGCTCTTTTGAGGGTGGTTAAGCTTATTTCAAAGTTGTGTGTTAACCCAGAAGCACAGAAACAATGGAAAGAGCTTGCTTAAGGCAAAGATGAATGTTTTACTAAAGAAACTATATGCCGGAGGTATAATTACCTTCCATAACCTGTCCATTTTGGAATTTGTGATTGGATCACCCTGTGAGGTTGCTTCTGTAGAACCTCTTTTTCATCCACAGATCCTTTGACAGGGAATCAGAAAGAAGAGACAGCAAGGTGGAGTCATGGGGTGAGAAGATAGGTTTACTTTTAGATATTCAGAGTATTAACTGTGACAGAGTGTTAGGCAGCATAGCATAGTAGTTAAAAAACATTTATTCTGGAGCCAGATTGTCTTGGTTTGAATCCTGACTCCATCACTTCATAGGCAAGTTACTACTCTGTGCCTCAGTTTCCCCATCTATACGGTAGGAAGTAATAGTACAACCTAACCCATAAGGTGCTGTGTAGATTAAATGAGTTAATACAAGGTATCAGCCCCCTGGTTGGTGTGGCTCAGTGGATTGAGTGCTGGCCTGCAAACGAAAAGGTTGCCAGTTGGATTCCTGGTCAGGGCACATGCCTGGGTTTACAGGATAGATCCCTGTTTGGAGGCCTATGAAAGGCAACTGATGGATGTTTCTCTCCCTTTCTTTTGCCCCACCTTCCCCTCTCTCTAAAAAATAAAATCTGAACTTCTAGCCAAGATGGTAGCATAGGTAGATACGCTTTGCTTCTTTGCACAACCAAAAGAAGGACAGAAACAAAACAAAAAACAAAAAAACAACTAGAACTGCCAGATAATCAAACCGTATGGAAGTCTGACAACCAAGGAGTTAAAGAAGGAACATTCATCCAGACTGGTAGGAGGGGTGTAGATGGGCAGCTGGGGTGGAGTGGGTGCATAACAAGGCAGTGGAGTGGGTGGGACTGGGCAGACGAGATAGCAACTGACAGAATGGGAGGTCCCACTTTTGTGTGTGGATAAACTGGGGAATGAGAGAGACCATGGAACCCAGGGTTCCAGCACAGGAAACTAAAGCCTCAGAACCTCTGGCTGTAAAAAGCGGTGGGGGTTGCAGCAGCGGGAGAAACCCCCAGCATCACAGAAAAGTTCATTGGAGAGACCCACCAGGCCCTAGAACGCACACAAATCCGCCCACCCGTGAGTCAGCACCAGAAAGGCTCAATTTGCATGTAGGTAGCAGAGGAAATGACTGAAAGCAGGGTGAGAGCCAAGCAAGCATCACTGTTCCCTCTCTGACCCCTCCCCCACATACAGCACCACAACACAGCAAAGTGGGGTGCCCCACCCTAGCAAATACCTAAGGCTTCACCCCTTATAGCATAACAGGTACACTGAGACAAAGAAATATGGTCCTAATGAAAGAACAGATCAAAATTCCAGAAAAAGAGCTAAATGAATCAGATGCAGAGTTCAAAACATGAATAATCAGGGTGCTCACAGACATGATTGAATGCAGATGCAAAATAGAGCAAGTAGTGAAGGCTGTGCAAAGTGAAATAAAGCAAAATATGCAGGGAACTAACAGGGAAGGGAAGGCAACTGGGGCTCAAATCAACGATTTGGAGCAGAAGGAAGAAATAAATATTCAACCAGAACAGATTGAAGAAACAAGAATTCAAAAAAGTGAGGAGAGGCTTAGGAACCTCCAGGACAACTTTAAACATTCCAACATCCGAATCATGGGAGTGCTAGAAGGAGAAGAAGAAGAAGAGGAAAAGCAAGGAATTGAAAACTTTTTTAAACAAATAATGAAGGTAAACTTCCCCA